AGCAAGCTGAGCGAGTAACCATGCTGGCCAAGCCAAAATTTCTCCTTACGCAATTACTTTTTACTGATGCCTGCAAATATGCGCTCTAGCCAAACGTCCTTCTGTGGGGGGAAGAAAAGAATCTATTGCTTGAAACAGACTGGAGAGGAGAACAGCAAGCACTGGGGGGTCAGCATGTAAGGAAGCCAGGCGAGGCAAAGCCTTGAGAGAAGCGGTGAAATTGCGTTTGTTACAACATGCGAAAGTCAGCTCGGCACAGATCTTGGATCCGTTCTGCTGTCTGTTCAAGTCAACAGGAAGATTCACATTAAGTTCAACAGGTTTCATCAGTTCCTGTATAAGGTGGAAAGTATAAGGTGGAAACAAGTGCTGAAGGTGCTAATTAAGGTGCATAACAAGACTCGGGATCTTTTATCTAGAAAACAAAATACCCACTCACTCCCCCTCCCAGTTCTTCCCAGCCTGAAGAAAACACGCCAAATATAATCAGCTCATGATCAACAACAACAACAACACAATCATGAGCAACAGATCATACTCTCATTTTCAGATTGAAGGCTGTGAAACAGTGCAACCACCGGCCGTCCTTGTCACGTCACTTCAAATTTCATCCTCTTTGATTCACAGCAAAAAGGCTTGCTCTTTACAGGTGACAAAAATCAGAGGAATACACGGCCTGTGCAGCCTTCCAAGCTTCTTGTAGTTCGTCTGCACCAGCGTCTGACAGGGAAACTCAGCCCAGTTATAGGAGTCATCCACAAAATCCAGTACAGGAGGACCTCTGGATCACTGGGACCAGGCTGCTGCTGTTGCAGAGAACCACATAAAAAGGCAGTGACTTGCAAGCTAGTGACTTCTGATTTAGTTTTCCCCACAGTCACTATTACAAACGGAGCTGCACAGGGGGAGCCGGGGTAGAAGGGCTCCGAGAACTGTTATTCCACGCACGGTTTAAATTGCAGTCCTTCACCCTTTTCTCTCCTGTATGAAGCTTTCACGCCAGTCTCCCAAACGCGCTCCCTGAATGGCTTGAGTCCTTTCCCACCATTCATATTGTGATCTGAGGTTTCCTCCCTTTAATGTGACAGTAAAGCTGAAAGGCTATGTTAGAAAAGAAACACGGCAAAACCAAAACTTGGACAGAACCTCCCAGGGAATTAATCCTTGTTCTGCAACGAGAGTGGAGCAAACACACATACACACCACACAGACTGACTAAACAATGGCTAATGAGAAATACAGTTCTGGAAGACACTGTCCAGCCAGCTGGGAAAAATGGGTGGGGGCTGTGCAAAAGGCACAAATTGGAACAACGTGGTTGAATTTCAGTAATCAAAAATTTAGACTTATCGTCAAGAAAAAAAAGACTTGAGATTCAAATTCAACACAAACGAGAGGGTGAAAGCCCACTGCTCGATACAGATGTTTGAAAATAATCCAGTTGCATGGCTTTCATTTCTCCAGTGAAAGAGCTACAAGAAAGAGAAGATTTTCTTCTGCCTTCCTGCAAGGTACACTTTTTCTAAGTGGGTGGTTTTGGGTTTTATCTCAGTAACACTGACACAGTGGAAATGTGAGCAGAACAATATCAGCTGCGCTTTAATGAGAACACCATCCAAATACTGAACATCACAAAACGAACAATAAATACACCCATAGCTCTAATCCTGGGCCTGGGGCAACTCCAACTTCACTTTGCCATACTAGGGAAAAAACAAAGCACTTTAAAAAAAACCACCGGAAATGAAACAAAGAGTGGCTGACTACCCTGCAACCTTAGAAATTCTTTCGCATAGTCTTCTTGGGACCTAGAACCTCCAGTGAGTCTCTGCCACCATGAAAACGCCGTAACTTCCCTAAACTGCCAGCTAAGACCAATGCCCTCCTTCTCGGGATCTACAAGAGCAGTCCAGGTGATGCCAGGGCAGAGCGAGTCTCGCCCCACGTTGCTGGTTCCTGAGCAACCGCACGTCCGAAAAGGGAGGTGCTATGCCGATCCACTCAGCCTGGTGGACTCATAGGAACCAGGCAAGGGTTCAGTGTATCACAAAGAAACAAAGAAGAATAGCTAAGCCATTACATTAAATTTGTTTTACAAAAGATTTCTGATGTTGAAAGAAAGTCATAATTAGTTAGAATATATTCTAAATATGGGCAGGGCTTTCAGCACGTAAAAAAAACCAAAGCAGCATTCCCAGCAACTGTCATAATAAAATCTGCTGCAAGGACTTCTCCAGGGCAAACCTCTGCACTAGCCTGAATCTACCTGACTTCAAGCCCAGTCCTGCAGCGTTCATTTACGTGGACAATTCCATTTGCAGTACTCATGACTGCACAGATAAACTATTTATGACAGAGCAAGTCTCAACTCAAACAAGTCCCTTTAAGGAATAATAAGAATAGAAAAAGTCTAATATACGTATCTGAAATACTTCGGGCTTCGTAATATCATGCTCCAAGTTGAGTGGAAGTTGGTGCAGAACTCACTGAAGAGCCCTATTTCCTACCTAATTAAGGACAAGGACAAATAAGGGAGCCAGGCACATCCTTTTCATATGAAGATGATCATAAATTTTTAATACTTAATCTGTCTCTTTTTGATAAGATTTCTTATAAAGCATATCTTTAATGACATTATATTTATTCTCACATTAGCTCCTTAGTCTGTGATAGTAAAAGACACAATTGTTCTTTGTTTCTTCCTTTCAATACAGGTCAGTAGTTACTAAATACTGGTTAATACTGGTTAAATTCCACAGTCCATATTATTCAGGCAATCATGCTAGGCAAGCATTAATACTTTCATATGGGTTTTATGTTTTATCTATTTATATTTGGAAGTAAAAACAGTAAATGAGTTACCTCTTGTGATTATGTAGGTGTGATAGTTCTTTCGAGATCATCTTCTTTGTATTAGAAGTTATAAAAGCAGGCTTTCATAAGGGACATTATTTTCTTTTTTTTACATCTTCACAGTTTTCTCAAATCCTTTCATTTTCCAAGCTATAACTTTATCTCTCTAATCCTATATCCTGCTTAAAATTGCCTACCCTTTATCCATTACGAAGCATATATTTAGAGTATTTAAAACGGTTTACAGAATCTTCTGACTAGCAATATTTTCCTGATTTAAAAACCAATATATTCCATGAAAGCAGAATTTGTTCTCACCTCAACTCACTGCCTATGTAGTGCTCATCTGTGACCAAAGGACAAAAATTGCCTACACTAAGAGGGAACTTCAGAAAAATACTATGTATGTCTTTATTCAATTATAGGGAGCGTACATTCCCTAAAATGCCTAGTTTGCTCCAAATCTTCATTTCCCACAGATTTTTGCTACAAATACAGAGCTGAAAGTAGTAAATGGCTGTCCTAAGGATTACTATCTGAAAAGTGCCTAACTGTGGCTGGGAAATCTGTTCAAATGTAGGTCATTCCCCTGCCAGAGGTCAACACTAATCAAGAGGCAATGGCCTTTATCGTCTTGTCCATTTTCCAGGCTGAAATGCTTCACGTCTTCAGACTGCATTTGCCTTACTGGGAGGCTGGGTGTGCTCTGTGCTCTGACTTGGCGGAGTCTGCCCTCTGCTTGAGCAACAGACACCTTTCAGTAATTTTTTTCTCCTTTTCAGAGTCAATCTCTCCTCCTCCTTTCTATCCTCGACATGAAATAATTAACGGAGAACTGGCTGAATGGCAGAACTCAGAGGGTTGTCATCAGCGGCGCTGAGTCTAGTTGGAGGCTGGTAACTAGTGGTATCCCCCAGGGGTCAGTACTGGGCCCAGCCTTGTTTAACTTGTTCATCAATGACCTGGATGAAGAGTTAGAATGTACCCTCAGCAAGTTTGCTGATGACACAAAAGTGGGAGGAGTGGTGGATACACCACCAGAAGGCTGTGCTGCCATTCAGCGTGACCTGGACAGGCTGGAGAGCTGGGTGCAGAGGAACCTGATGAAGTTCAACAAGGGCAAGTGCAGGGTCCTGCACCTGGGGGAGGAACAACCCCATGCACCAGTACAGGCTCTGGATGGACCTGCTGGAGAGCAGCTCTGCGGAGAGGGACCTGGGACTGCTGGTGGAGGATAAGCTGACCATGAGCCAGCAGTGTGCCCTGGTTGCCAAGAAGGTCAATGGGATCCTGGGGTGCAGTAAGAAGAGTGTGGCCAGCAGGTCGAGGGAGGTTCTCCTCCCCCTCTACTCTGCCCTAGTGAGGCCCCATCTGGAGTACTGTGTCCCATTCTGGGCTCTCCAGTTCAAGAAAGATGAGGAGCTACTGGAGAGAGTCCAGCGGAGGGCTATGAAGATGGTGAGGGGACTGGAGCATCTCTCCTATGAGGAAAGGCTGAGGGAGCTGGGCTTGTTCAGCCTGAAGAAGAGTAGGCTGAGAGGGGTCCTTATAAATACTTATAAATATCTCAAGGGTGGATGTCGAGAGGACGGGGCCAGACTCTTTTCAGTGGTGCCCAGCAACAGGACAAGGGGCAATGGGCACAAACTGAAGCATAGGAAGTTCTGTCTGAACATGAGGAAGAACTTCACTCTGAGGGTGACGGAGCACTGGAACAGGCTGCCCAGTGGGAGTCTCTTTCTCTGGAGATATTAAAAACCTGCCTGGACAAGGTCCTGTGACCCTGCTTTGGCAGGGGCATTGGACTAGATGATCCTCAGAGGTCCCTTCCAACCCCTAACATTCGGTGACTCTGTGATTCTGTAACTTGATCACCGCAATGGGGCTTCACAGCAGTACACCTCCTTGCAGAGCATTTCAAAACTCTGAAACCACGCACCTTTGCAGAGCACGCTGGAAGCAATTATCTAGGAATACACTGTGGTATAGAAAAGTATTAATTTCCATTATTTGTAGGAAATGCCAAAGGAATTAGTAACAAGAAGATTATCAGTAAAATGTCAAAACTTCTTCCAAAATCAGGATGGCAACTCCCAGACAAGAGGATAATTAAGTACAGACTATCCGTGCTTTGTTAAGGCACCAACCTCGTAATGGGAAGTCTGAGATCTAGTCTCAAGTCTGCCAAAGGCTTCCCTCGATTCTCAGCTCTCCTGCGTGCAGCTGCAGGGCCAGGACGTTTATATCATGTTTACCTCAAAGAGAGGTTGGAGTGCCAAGTTCAAATATATCTGTGAATCTCTTGGAAAGCAGTGGTGGGAAAAAACGTAAGCGCAATGTCTTGTCTGCTCACTGAGAACCTCTCCAGTATCAGAGAGCTTCGAAGCTCTCCAGGGGAATCAGACAGGTTGTACTAGGGAAGCACTCTAGAGAAAGCCTGTATGTTTATGTAACAGTATCAAATACAAACATGTTATTATTAGCACATTTAGCTGAGATAATGAATCAAGTTCAAAATGTAATGTGGAACGGAGGCACTGTCAATGCCCGCTTCCATGGAGAAACACAGAGCTGGTAGTATTTCTTCCCCCTGGACTCATGCATGACCCACAGCAGAACACGGCAAAAGGAAAAATGCTGGGTGGGTCTTTGGTTTAATGTATTTCAAGTTCAGACTTACATGTTTGTACATTTGGAATTTTTATGGTAATGGTAATTTTGTGGCAGGTAATAATTCCCCATCTTACTGAGCAGCATAAGGGGGTTGCTGCAGAGGAATCAGGCAGATGGTATGTGCTCTCAGCTCATCTCCAGCGGGGCTGAGCCAACCTTCTGCCCAGCGATGGTCGGGCATCGCATGGAGAGGAGGACCGGTACCTTATTTCAGGTCTGCCTGGCCTGTTCCTCTCTACAGTGACTGCATATGTGACATGACGAATTTTGAATTCTTTTTGGCAATTTCGAACCCTGTTCGTACCTATTTCAGATGGTAATCTCTGCTTTGCTTCCAGAGCCTCGTTTGTGCCTTCGTCCCAGCTCTGCAGCCTTCACACCAAGTTAAAACAAGCAGGCAAGGCCAGGAGAAAGCCCCCCTTGTTCGGGGGGCTATACGTTCCACCCAGAAGATCCTCCGTTCAGGTGGAAGCACTGTTGGACACAGCTGCCCAAACCAAGAGAGCCTGCTGCATCAGCTGAGCTGGCACCCCAAACCGCAGTCGCTGGGGCTGGGGCTGGACAGGGCCGAGCAAGAAATCGCGTGACAGACCTGACAAGAAGGTTACAGAAGGCAGTCTCTTACGTGTCATTTCCCACCAGACCTTTCTAGAGTACGACAGTGGGGCCCATATAGAGGCTTCTGGTGTACTTATAAGGGAACGGCAGGTAATCAGGGGAGAAAATCCTACTATCAGTAAATTTAAACAGGGGCTACGCCTCTGTTGCTGCTTTCTGAATGATCTGTCACTTCTCTTGAGATGTCCGAATGAAGTGCAAGGTTTAGAACTCATTTGCAAAATCTGCGTATTTTTGCTTTAGCTGTATCATATTCCCCTGGAGGCAAGCTGTGACTCACAGGGGACTCAGAAACCACAAGGATGGGCCTCTGAGAAGAGTCAGAGAAAAAACCCCAACATTGAAGAGAAAGAAATTAAGGCAAATTCCTCCTGTGCAGTGTGCAACAGCACCATAACCCATGGTCCCAGGGGAGAAAGCTACTTTTTTACCTCTGTCAACCCTTCCAGAAAGGAAAGGTCTCCTGTATTCAAGGCCATCGTTTTGATGGACCCTGTTCTATAAAAATCTTCATGGTTTGGGGGCCGGACATTACAGGAGGTTTCCTCTTCATCTGAAATCAGTCCATGTTAAAAAAATGCTATGGTGGTGTTAGTGTCCCTGCAGCAGTGTGGATGGAGGGAACAGATGGTCAAACAGACAGTGGCTAAAATTAAGTAAATTTTACCTTTTTTTTCTTTCTGTACTTCATTTTTCTTTTTATTCATCAATCTGAAAAATTGATTATATTCTTTATCTAAAATTATTTTGTTCACAAGCAAAACAAAAAATATGTATGTTACAGGACACATTTTCAATACCCATTTCGGAAACTCCCCTGCCTCCTTTATTCCTAAACACTGTAAACATACCCTGGTATATTTATACGCAACGATAGCAACCCGAGATCAGTGCTTAAAAATAAACCAGACATGAATCGCAGTGCGTGTGCGCACAACAGGCATACCAGTCTATAGCAGGGGCTGAAGAGATGACATTAGGGGAATACTGTCCGTTATATTTGTTTGGTTTTAATCCAAATTGTTAAAGCGTGAGGTGCAGAGGGTGATGAAAAGTTTAGTTTAGGCTCTTTTTTTCTTTTTTTTTTAAATAAATGCAATGGTAATTATCACTGAAGCGACTAGAAACAGTCGCCATGTTCCATTCTAGACGAAATGGCCAGCGCTCTTTTCCAAGGGTAAGCGCACATCCAGCTACCCCCATTTTCAGCATACCCAGTCAAACCCCAAAAGCATCGCCAACTTACAGGTGCTCCTTGCCATCCCTCTCTCAGAACCCAAATCTGTGACTAAATTGCAACAGATCCGCGGATGGACAGGAGCAGCACACGTCCCCTAGGCCTCTGAAAAGCAGATGGCATTAAGGTATCATCCTGAAGGCAGCGGGTATCTGCAGTAGCTACAGGGGAAATGTGCATATATGCATAAAGTAAGAGGCAAGAGTAAGTAAAAATGTCAAAGGCTTTTTAGCTTGTTATCAGTATAGGTGGATCTCTGTTTCCCATTCTCTCTTAAATTCTCTTCTGTGACAAAAGGAAGGTATCAGGTTTACTGCTGAATTTTCCCTTACACACTGAAGAACTCAAAATTTTTGATCAGAGTTTTTGTACAGTTCTTTACGGCTTCTCAATTTAGGCACCTGCACCAAATGAATTTAGACAGACTGTAACGGTTTCTTTGCTGCAGTGTTGTACAAAGCTAAGCACCACGCTTCATAGCAAAATGAAACCAGCTGCCTCACTCACAGAAAAAGTCTAGATTTGCTTGCAGGAGCTAAAGCAGAGAGGACGGGAGATGGCATACAGCAAACTTGATAGAATAAAGGCACAAAGTTTATTTTGCTTACAAACCCAAACATCAAGTGATCTCTAGTCACATACCAAAGGAGATAGGATCAGAATGAGCCACAATGGGAGTTTTTGTGAATTTTAAAGCGGCATGAGTCAAATACTGAAAAATCAGCATTTCAGCTGCTGGAAAGTTGCCTGCATGGCAGCAGGCGCTAGGAAATTTGCCCATCTGTGAGCTCAGTGGCAAAAACAAGCTGCTGGTGCACACGAAGGTTTGAGGAGATGAAAGCTCACAGCCCAAGGTTCAGAGAAAGTGCTACTGTGATAAACTACTAATTATGTATGAATACAGCACTGATGGTATTGCATGCGTTTTGAAGCACAGCAGTTCCCCAAAGGAAGTGTTATCCAATTGTTTCTATACCCCTCAAAGACAGACGTCTCCCTGGCACCTAGAAAGTAATATATATCCCAGGGTGCTGCTTCTCTGAGTACATTTCCTTCCTGACCCCTGAAGAGGGCTCCCGATCAGGGCCGCACACATCCTACTGCAGAACAGCCGAGGAATATTTCTGGTCCCACCAGAAGCACGTACTGAGTGGCCTGGCAGTAAAGAAGGCTGGAAAAGACCACATGTGCAGCTCCACACATTTTCCAATAGCAACCAATGACCCTACAACAACTTTCTCCAAATGAAAAAGAAACCATCTACAGGGCAGCCACAACAGAGAAATTGGATTGTAACAAAACAGCCCATGATAAAAATATACGAGGAGTTTTCACTATATGATTCAATATAGCAGTAAGGAAATCACACTTTATTGGCAGGCCACTGTTCAATTAACCTTTATAAATAGATGCACTTAATAGATTTGGCTTGTTTATGTAAATGTTAACGTAAAACAGATTAATACATTGGCTGAATTAGAGGGCTAAACCGCTCCAGTTTAAAGTAAGTATTCGGTGTATCACTGGCGCAGTACCACATGCAGTTATTAAATGCCCTGAAGTCAGACCAAAAGCCAGACTGAAAATTTACTGGTAGAAAGATCTCCTGTGAATTCCAAATTACGTTAGTTAATATCAGTGCTTTCAGTGACTACATAAACAAAATTGCCCCAGAAGTTTTATGCCATTTTAACCTACTTGTCTCTACCTCGGATAGCATTTACGTTTGTATCTAAATTCCTTTTATTGCTGAACTGCCTAAGTAATCATTTTAGCAGCAGGCAAATGCCTAAAAGTGCAGTAGTGACTTCTAGTGGGGGTGTTAAATCCTTCTCAAAGTAATTCAGACATACCTGAATTTCCACAGTGCAATAAGGCAACAGAACTTGTGTCCACAGTGAAAGTGTTTTCAAGAAAATATAAGCTGATCTAAACCTGCTGTGTATTCACAATCAACAAAACCTCATTTGGAAGCTAGGAAAAAAATGAGGCTTACGATCCCGCTTTCTCTTATTACTTCTCACCAACATTTCAATTTCCAGTTGAACCCTGGAGTTTGGAACGCGAAAGTCCCGTATCAACGACAAGCCAGAGGCAGGCAGCAGCGGAGACGTCCCAAGCGTCCTTGTGCTAGCAGCACAGCCAACTTGGTTTTACATACGCGAAAGTATCTGTGATCTAAACTCGAGTACTTCGAGGGGCTTTTAGGGAAAGCTGCCCGCGCTAGTAACCACACACCAAATTATCTCTGGGTAAAGACACAGACTTGCGCGTTATATAGGAAGACCAAGTACTCCACTACGACCCTAACGAAGGTGGGAATAAACCGGTACAGAGAAGAGTGCTCCTGGAGGTGCGTTTCCCCAGTATGGACAAAATAGGCTTTGAGCACAGATTCGCTTCACATAACTCACTCATCAGTGGTAGCTCCTCCATCCCAACAATCTTAGCTGGATTCAGCCGGCCTCGAACCGAAGCTTCCGCTTCTCCTGTCATTTCGTCAAGCCAGTCTCCTTCCTTGTGCAGAAATCCTGGAAGCAGAATGTCTGTTGCTCTCATGAGTGCACCTACGCTTAACGAGGCATAATGAAAACTACACGCTGGGAAACGTAAGCAAACGATGCATCACTTTTTCTCCCAGGTGCCAGTCTTTGATTACTCCATTCCAAATGTTGTTGTTATTACTTGTCAAAAAGTACCACAAACGTTTGGTGTCAAGGTATGGAATAGTTTTAAAATGCCAAATTGTCTTCTTGGTTGATTCATTGACTACGGCCTGCACCGGCCAGGTCTTCTCCCGTGGAGAGGCAAGAGATTTGATCCAGGTTTTGCAGGAAGCCCAGCCATGTTGGTTGCAGAGGGCAATTTCACTTTGAGCCCAGAAAATGCCTCCTCCCTACATGCCTACTAACACCAGAACTTCGCACACTTTGTGGCCAAAAAGCAGCTGGAACCTACGGCAGCAAGCACCTCAACCCGTTCAGGTAGAGCTATATATTTTTACTGAATGATCCCCGCTGTCTAAAACGACGAGGGAATCGTTTGCCATGTAAGTCAGTCCTACGGGGTAAGAAAGCCCGTGGCTAATCAGAGGGTTAAAGATGGGAAACTCCTTGGGTTTCCCTAGGCATACGACGGCCTGGCTACGGACATCCGTCACTACAACGCGGCCCTCTTTGTCAAAGGCCACAGCTGTCGTGTACATTTTGGCGGGGAAAACGAGGTTCAGCCCGAAGCTGTCCATCTGGCCGATGAGATCCATCTCCGCGCTGAATATCTTCACTCGGGTGCTGCCGTCGTTCGGTCCTTGGGCTTTGAGGTGCTCTATTACCACGACGGCACCCGAGGTCTGCGAGACGGCAACC